GCTCTGTTCCTCGGACTGATTATGGTCATGGAATCCACTCTCTCTGTGAATGTTATGTCACACCACCTGGGCTCGCTGCTCCAAGACTGCATGAGGCCCATTGGAACCACAGACCCTGGTGCATGGTGTCTTCTCCTACTGTCACCTGCAGCTTCCACCGAGCTCCCAGGCATACTGAGACTCCCTCGTCCACACCTCCCTGTCCCCAGGTGGGCAGGGTTTCTCTGAACGCCCCTTGCTTTTTCTACCAGGGAAGGGCCAGCATCCCAGTCAATTCCTTTGGCTGATGGCCACTGGGAATGCAGGTTCTGAGAACTAATTGTTAACCTTTAAGACAAATGGCCAGTGCTGTTTAATCCCTCATATACAAATGCAGTAGCCCAGTCTCAGTTTTCTGGTTCTAATGAAATAAATTTTCAGGCCGGTCTCCCAGACTCCTGCCAACACAGATATTCAAGGTGCCACAGCCTCCTTGGGGAACAGACCTTGATGGTGCCCCGTCTGGGCTATGCTTGGCCGTGACTTTGGGCATGAAGCAATGAGAAGAGCACCCCTTGAGCAGCCAGTGCCTCAGGGCAGGGCACTGAATGGTTCTCAGACAAGAAAAAGCTAGTTTGGTGTGGGGCAGGAGGGTTGAACACGCCATTCCAAGTCTCAGGGTCCCACACCTTGAGACTTGTGAAGTCTCTCGTTTCCCTGGAATTCCACCTCTGCCACCAGCACATTCAGGCCCCTGGCACAGCCTGTCCTTAATTTACAAATCAAGCAATCAAGTGAGAGACCATTCTGTACATCAGTTCTTAGTTGAGAGCAGCTGTTATCAATTTCTGTGGATCCTACTCAACACAGCTGACCCCAAAGAGCCGTTTTAGTACATTCTTTAGAGGTCCTTTGAAAGAGACGTTCTTTTCCAAACAAAAATGTGTTTAAATTAATTAAAAAGTGAATTGCTACCTGATGAGAATTGTCTCAGAAGCACGTTGACACTGAGGCAGAGATGGCGCCACAAAGCAGAGGAGCTTAGAAATGCTCTGAGTCCTATCTCCAGCATCTCAACCCTCCTGCCCTTTTCTGAGCCTACGATATTGGGCCTCAAATTTCTTCTGATTAAAATGGTGACAAAAACAGACTCTCCTTGTCAGGACACAAGGGCGGAATGATTCCATATGCGCGAAGCCCTTACCTAACCTCCATGAGCTCAGCTGTTACGATTCATCTTCCAGGGCCCAGAAACTCGATCGCAGACTAGGAAACTTGGCAGTTCTAGTGAGAGGAAGGGGTTCATGAGCATGGGAAGGTCACTGGCGTCCAAGCAGACACTAGAGAAATCTGCTGAAAATGCCACCAGAGAGGCCTCGGGGAGGTCCCCGTGATGTCAGAAAGTCCAGCGTCACCTTGGAGGCCTCCATTAGGATTTGGAGCAGGTGGGAAGCAGGCACCGGGGTGGAAATGACTCAGAGCCTCTGCCCCTTCCACCAGCACAGACCCATCCAGGAGGGGTGGGACCATCTAGCCGACCGTCATAACAGGTAAGCTGGCTGACCTGCACTGGCTCGTTTTTAGTGCAATTGCTCAGTTCAAACTGACCGCAGTAGAAGATGGCATCTTGTGATGTCGTCCTGCAGTAATGGCCCCTAGGTTGGTGATTGGTTTGTGTTTGTGAAACTGTGTCTTGACTTCAATGTGGGGCTGCAGCCCCTCCCCAGGGAGCCACCATTCCAACCACCTCTGGGGTGTCTGGCCCTCAAGTCCTAATGGGATAGGGACAGGGACCCCGAACCCTGCACACACTACTAATCCATACCGGAGCTGCAGGTGAGGCCTGCAGGCTGGCACCTGCCGCCTTGACATGGCTGGAGCGGGGTCTCCTGCCCTCCAGGGCTGGGTTCATGAGTGTTAGCAGGAGTGGAGGGCACTTCCCTTCGACACCGGCCGCTTGTAACCAGAGGACACTGAACCCCACATCTACAGAATCTGCCTTTGGATTGGGCTGGCCGGACGCAGGAGCTGGAGAGGGGCAGCTGGCGTCACGCCCGGGTGGGCCCCGAGCAGACCCGTGCCCTTGACCCAGCCAGCCACCCCCAACCCGGAAAGATATCCACTCCTGGCTCACGTATTTCTGACAACATGTGCATTTATTTGTATTAGAAGTACAAATGTAGGAATCCAAGTACAAATACAGAGGGTGGCCCGGCCACCAGGCCCAGCTGGCCTCAGGTGGGGCGTGGCGCGGCGGGACAGAACCAGAACCGGCGAAGCGGGGCGCGGCGCCGCGTGTCGCCAAGGCACGTGAGGCGCAAGTGCGCCCTCGTTTCACTAGGACACCACGAGCTGCATGGCTAGCGGAGGGGGACGGGACCTCGGACTCCCTGGGACGACCTGAAGACCCAGAGCCCGGGCCTCCAGTCCCTGGCAGTTCCACAGGGAAGCAGGGCTGTTGGAGGCCACTTGGTGACAATGGGGACCTTGGCCTGGCCCTCCACCCACTTGTCTGGGGAGGGGCGGGCACAGGCACTTGAGCAGGGCCGGTCCCCTCTCAGGCCAAGGTGGTTTACACTGCACTCAGACCTGATTCCAGGATGCTCTCACATTCTAGAATCGCCCCACCTTCCTCCCACCTGGGCAAGCAGGCTTCCCAGGCAGGAAGGGTTCCATCCAGGGCGCTTCTGCCCAGGGCATCTCCCAGTTCCCCCTACCTCCAGTTTTATTTTAAACACAAGCTTTAAAAAGAGAGGACAGTCCACACACTGTGGCTAATTCTCACATGTCCCTGCGGTTCATACTAGGCCTGATGATTTATCACGTTGTATGTGAGTGCTACATCCTAAGCAAGTGTGAGGATTGCTATTTGCCACCTACATCTGGAGAACTACCTGGACCTTACCTACTAAAATTGACCACGATGCACAAATGACCAAGGAACTGCTCAGATGTGCATCCAGGTAAAGTGTGACCAGGTGCTCAATGGGCAGCTTGTCTGGGCTCCAGACCAACTTCTGATAAAATATTTACGCTTGATTTTTTTTTCTTTAAAGAAAGATTGTGGCCCTACATTTCCAGGAAGTGGGAAGATTGTGAGTTCCTCTTCTTCCATCTCAATCTCTCTCTCTCTCTCTCTCCATCTCTCTCTTCCTCTCTGTCTCTCTCCCTCTCTCTCCCTCACTCCTCCTTAACCAAAGACTTAGTAAGCTAATATACTATCACCAGAAAACTGTTCCTTTCTTTTTTCCACTACGTTTGGGGTAGTGAGTGGAGTAACACACATTAAGTTGTTCCAGTTTTACCACTGTTCACACAAATACACACATCACTGCATGTAATCACAAGATGGCCCCTGGCCCCTCACAAGACAACCCAGGCCCAATCCCTGAAAACTGTTACTCTTCTAGAATCTTCCACAGAAAATGCATTCGCGAGGAATGAACCTTTCACTCAGTCCAGGAGCTGCTTGGAAAGAAAAACATATCATGTGGTTGTAGAAACATATACATGTAAACATTATTCACTAGCACAAAATTAGTCATTTTGAAGGTCAAGAATGATTAAAAGTATCTTTTAAAATGTTTTAATAGAGTTGCTCTAAACAGAGATAATATAATAGTAAATACTATAAATTTCATTAATATATTATACTTGTGTCTATTTTTATCCAGGAGTAAAATTCCAAGATAAACTGGAGGAAATCAAAGCTTAAACCCAAATTATATGATAAGAAGCATACTGATTGTCCTTTTCGGCTAATGAAATCTATGATGTCCACAGATGTGTCCACTTTGGGAAAAATAGTTATTGGCCAACTCAAATGTTATCTTCTTAAAAAGGAATAAAAAAGCCAAGTGAGGTAAAAACTAGACCAAACAAAATAAAAAACAGAAGTAACCAACAAACTAAAATTAGGTGGAGTGTTCCATTTCAACAGTTTCAAATTCTGATTGAGGCAGGGTAGACAAGATTGCTGGGAAATTTTTAGTCAAGCCAAATTTTGAAATATGATCTGCATATTTAATACTTAAACTAAATGAAACTTTTCCATTTTCTCCTTAAGTCCTAATTTTGTTATAGTTTGGAAAACACTAGCCTTTGTGTTGACTCAGTAGCTAAGTACTAGCTACTTAGCTATCTTTCCTGTTAACATAAACAGTACATGATAAACACCTTTTGTAATAAATACTAACCAAATCAAAGCACTCTTCATTTGTTCTTCAAAATCAGTCTCACAGTGAGTTGGAACTCCTACTTTTTAATGGAAAATGGGAATTTTAATCTTTAGTGAAAAAAGTGGTTAGTGGGAAAAACATAGAAGAAACCCCAAATGACTAGAAGAGAGGAAAATATAGCAGCCACCTTTTCAATCTTGGGGATTTCATCACCGGCAATCAATCTGGACTGCTCTTCCCTACCTGTGCAGTTTGAACTGCTCAGCAGACACTCAGGACCCTCCTCCCCTGCAGGAACCATTGTCGCCCTCCCATTGTGAAGCTGGCCCACTGGGCTGGGAAACTTTGTGTTGTGTTTACAAATGCAAAAAGTGGAGTGGTGAAAGTAGGTGATAATCTGAATAACTCAAGCAAAACATTTAGTTTTCCTCAATTGCCCGGATGCTATATTCGGTGTTTGCTCTGTGTGTGCGTGCTCATGTGTACTTCCTTCCTAATTATTTTCTAGCTCATGTCCCTGTAAAATATTTCTGAAAGACCCACTTGATTAACTCAAAACATTGAAAACTTGTTAGTGACTGTTCAACTAATTTTTTTAGCACTGATTTAAAGTGTTCTAAAATGTGTTTTTTATGTGAACAGAGTAATAAGAGGATACAGGTGTTTTATTGACAACATTACAAACCAAAGCATCATTTAACTAGAGTATATTTTAAGGGGAAAAAAAAGAAGCAAAGGGGGCCGGCCGAGTGGCTCAGTTGGTTAAGAGCTCGCTCAAGAGTACGAGCTCTGAGCAACAGCATCACCGGCCTGAGCTCGGCCTGAGTTGAGCTGCTGCTGAGCTGCCAACAGGTGGTAGGATGGCTCAGCTAAAAAAAAAAAAAAAAGGAAAACAAGTCTCCCTTTTGACTTTAATAGAAACAGACCAGGCTTATATCTTGGAAATGCTCACTTGAATTTTAAAAGAAATGGAAATGCCCTAGTTTGTAGTCTTCAAAACTAGCAGGCATTAAAAAAAAAAAGCCAAGTTTTTATTCTTCCAGAAATATGAATGGCTGAGTTGTTATGTTATCCTATTATCTCAGCACATACATGTGTTCTCCCTATAATGGTAGAAATATATTTTCATAGTAAAAGTGAAATGAACAAGGAATACAAGAAGGGTCTGTCATTTACGCTGAATTGTTAGTTTTTTGGTTCTTTGCATGTGATTATAGTGTGGAGTTACTGCTAACTTGTGTGAACCTGACTGTTTCCTATAGGCAAATGTGAGAAAAAAAAAACATGGGCAGATTACACACTTTCTCAATTTGGGGCAATTTTCCACAGAATTTTCCATAAATTTCAACAGAAAACTGTGAATTTCACATTTACAATGTAGTATTCACAATCTGGTTCTTATTTCCAGACACCTTTGTGAAAATATTTTTAAATTGATAGCGCTCTGAAGCCAACTGATAGTAAACATTTCAATACATATTTTTATCTGATTACATATGTTTATCCCAAGTCATGCACACACCCTTGAACAGAAATTGAGGATGAAATTTCATATGTACGTAGTTTATAAACTCTCAGAAAAAGCATTTTGACAATTAACTGAAAGACCATGGAAAGAATTCAAAATGCTTTGTGTCTTGAGAGCACCGCTCTGATACGTTGATAAGTGTAATGGTGGGAGAGCAGTTATAATTCTCAAGTCTGCGAAGGAAATCACAGAGTTTTATTATTGGCAGCCGAGATAAAAATGATCAAGGAAGAGGAGGTTTTGTCTTATTTTCTAGCCCTTTAGATAAGGAGTGCCCTGTTGCTTCCTAGTGTGGCAAGTACTTGCCAATGCAAAATGGTGTTATCGATGGCCTCCCTTGGCTTCCAGGGTGCGGTATTTTGCAGAGCAGCAAAAAACGACACCTAAACCCTTTACTGCAGTAAGCTATGGCCAAGTGAAGAGACTTGGCGTGGAGGTCCTATGGGGACACTCCTGCAAGCACTGTTGCTGGCTTTTAGATTGGCATTTTATTGACAATGTTAATACGTTCCTCATATGTAGCCTGAAAACGCTTTGCCCTCAAGCACCAGCATTTCCTGACTTGAAGAATCCACAAAAAAACTGTGTCCTTAACTAATCTGATGGACGAGTAAGACTGTTTGGCCTCTAAAGACGTGAAATCCTATCTCCATCCACTCATAAAAGATAAATAAATTCGGGCACGAAGTATATGGATTCCCAGGAAGTAGAAAATCTACAAGACATGCATTATTTGAGCTTTTCATGTTATTTTAAGGCATATGTTGGGTAAGTTGGGGGCAATATTGGCTGGGTTCACACTAAGTTGTCCTCTGTCCAGCATCTGAGACCGTCTTCCAGTCAGTGGTGTGAAACTACAGAAACTAAAACTTCCTGGACCCCAGGAGGCATTCTGCTGTGATCCTGGTCCTGTTAAATGCCTTTTTTTCCCTTTCACTCTCAGCCCGATGCAGCTTATGAGAGAGATAGTCACAGCGGTCACAAGTGAGAAATCCTGGTCAAAATGTGAAAATGTTACCTCCTGGATTTAGAGTATTTCTGAAAGTACGGGACACCTCAGACTACTTCCCCAGGCTGCCACACAACCACCCAAGTATTTCCCAATTCTACATGCAAAGCAAGCTGGGGGGAGCTGGAAGGGTGTGGGTCTGTGTGGAACAGTCATACCGCACGCCCCACATGCTCAATATACTCATCAAGCATGTGGTGAAGGCGAGTCCTTTGAATAGAGTGATACTCTCCCTCACACTCTCCCTCGCCTCCTTCCTGCCTCTCCAGTCAGCTCAGGTGTACTTAGCAAGCCCAAGCTCCACCCTGCTGAGGGCATGGACTGCAGACTGAAGAGCTCATCTCAGGACCAGGTGTGGTGAGCTCTCCAGGGATGCTTTACTGTGTTTAGTCAGACCAGAGTGTAAACTGCCTTATGTGCCCGAGTCTACTTTCTGTTCTACGAGTGAATGTCTATCCCTTGAGATGAAGGTTCTCATTCCCGAACAAGGAGCCGTGAGCTGGTGCGCTTTGACCAGCAGGACCACCGAGGCTGGGGGTGGCACTTACAGCCTACGTGTATAAATCTCATGAGAGTTTCCAACAATGCCTACCTATGAATGGCTTTGAAACAAGAGACATCCATAAAAAATATTTAAATGGAATTGAACCAAATCTATGTTCTAAAAAATGCTTTTTGGTTAGTTGCCTCCCCAGAAGAATTTCACTGGATAATTCAGTTCCTTCCAGAACTTCTTGGAAGGTGCACCAGGCTGAAATTCTTCAGATTGTTAGAAATGATAAATTTGTAAAGCTGGAAATGGTGTTTGGAAAAGACCGACCTTGGGCTGCCTTTCCTGGGTATTCCAAACTCTGCTCTCCTTGGTCACGGTGCCTGCCAGCTGCCCTGCCGAGCGCAGGAGGGTGGATTATGCTGCTAGATGGGGACATTCTCCAACACAGCAGAAGTGTCATTTAAGCCACTATATTCAACCTGTTTCTCCACAGATACTGATCATGATTTTACTTTTTAAAATTGGATTTGCTAAAAAGAAGCCAAATGTCCTGTGGTCTATGTAGCAACTATCAAACCAAAAGACAGGGAGAGGACAGGAAGGAAAGCAGTGGGCTTGACTGTGTCACACTGAGACCCAGCCCATGAGAGCTCGGTGATCACAGAGTCATATATTTGATATGCAATGATGCTCATAAAAATAAACAGGCTTATCCAATGTTCACCTTCCTGGCCTCTTGCACTCCCATCCTTTTCGGTGTCTGTATCCAGTAAATTGCGTGAAATCAACCCTTTTACATATTTTCTCTGCATAACATTTTACCTTTTTTTATGAGTAATAATAGTATGTACAATAGATGATTAAAATAAAATGCTATTGTTTCTAAAAACACGCAATTTTCTGGGTAAGATGAGAAACACAGATTCTGGTACCAAAATTTTAATGATTCCTAAGCGTCATTTAGGAACTGGAAGGACTTTTGTTCCTATCAGTGGTGGGAAGCTTCCAAAGAGCCTTGTGAAGTACACACTGGCAACCCGTCCTAAGAAAAAGCTAACATCACAAATCAAGTTGGTGTCATGTTATAAAAATATCAAAAGACTAATAATTTCAGAGGCTGTTTTCTTTGGGATTTTGCTATGTATCCATATTTCACAGTATAAAATAATTTTTGTTCATCAAAATATATCATTGATGATAGCCATGACACATTTTTTTGCATCTAAAGTGATTTGACTTGACAGTTAATATTCATTAAGAAATTTTTAAAATTCTATCTATATTTTTTTCACACTCTGGAAAACGTTTTCAAGACAAAGGCTATGAATGGTGTATACTTTCCTGCGAAAGAGGAAAATCATTGAACCCACGATAGCACAACATCAGCACGACATATACTCTGTGGTTGTTCCCTGTTCCAGTAAAACACAGCTCAGGTGAAAGACCCCAAGGTTCAAATACTGCCGACTCTTGGTAGTCTGGAAGAAAGTAAACTTCTGATGTTCAGAGATAACATCATTGAATTCAGCAACATGAAAATTTTGAAAATCATATTTTTTTCCTCAACTGGAAACTTATGGATATGCATATACACCCTTCCCAAACCTGGGTGAGGTTATTATTATAAAGGGACGCTAGCTAACGATGATGATGCCAGAGCAAAGGAGGCCAGAGAGAGAGAGAGGCAACAGGTTGGAAACTCACTGCAGCTCGTGCCTGAGCTCAGGCTGCCCAGGAACACTGGGCTGGGGTCAGTATGAGTGTCTCAGCCAGCTGTGAGTCCACACACATGAGCACTGGTCCTGCCGAGGACTGCGAAGGGAAGACCCAGAGGGGCCAGGGCCCAGGACAGCTTCTTAGATATTTGTTTGCATGTGTATAGACTTCTCTGCAAGGCTAATCGGCAGCTGCTTCCAATATCCAAAAACGGTTTACAAACATCATCAAGCTACAGATTCGGTAAGGGATTATCAGCAAGTGTCATTTTAAAACTCAGTTAACATGTGTGTGTGTACACGCGCGTGGGTGAGTGTGAAATATACAATAGACATATTTGCCACACACTCCTACACTGCTCAGAGGTGACGTGTAACTTCACATAAGCTGAGTAGTGTCCCCTGTTCTACTCTGATTGGTGACTACCGGTCTGGGGAGGGTGACAGGTAAAGAGGGGGACCTAGCACACGCCACTCATTACCACAGGCAACATTTAAAGGTACAGGTATCCAACCCAATAGACCAAGTTGAAGAGCAGGAAGGACGTGGGGAAAAAGACCCGGGAATATGAGTCCAGCTCCAGGACGTCTATGTGGATACGCCCTTTTCTCCAGGACCCTGACTTGCATTCCTCATAGCAGCAGAAGAAGCTCTGACAGTCTTTGCCGTCCAGACACTCATAGACACAGGTCTCTTCAAATTCCTGCCAGTACATGGAATTGTTCAAAGTGACCATCGTGGGCGGCGGTGGCCTCACATCGAGGAGAGAGTAGCTCTGCAGCAACAGGAACGACACAAAAATCATTATGAAATGCAACAAGAACAGCCCAAGCCATAGGCACACTCTACCTCTGTCCACTAGACAAAAGGGACAGGCCCGTGCCCCACCCATCTCCCCACATGGGAGGGTTCCATCTTTGCAAATCAAATGCAAGAGAAAGCACAGTGCAGTTTTCAAATTCTGCACTTGTCAGATTATTGGTGCGGGGTGGGGGTGGGGGACAAGAAGAGGAGAAGCCAGGCCATTGCAGCAGCGTTTGTCCAGAGGATGGTCCTGACTCACAGTGCGCATCAGAAAGCTCTGCAGGGGTGGGGACAGATCACCAGAGATCTAAAGGGGGGTCAGGGGGGCCACAGGCAAAGGAGCAGCAAGGATTTGGGAGCACGAGAGACTTTCAGGGCACCTCTTCACATAGGGAACTAAAACCATTGATGGCTGAAACACATTCAAACCCGATTCAGTACTTAAGAGAGCTTCATTTATAGCTCACTGTTTTGAGATGAAACGAATTCCATTTGATAGTATTGAAATAAAACTTAGCATTTATACTAACAGTCATAGGTGTATAGAAAACTGCAGTGATAATATGTATGAAAGTGAAAAGTGTGGATTAGCCCTCTGTGCAGCCAATGTGAACATATGATGAAACCAAAACATGATAACTATAAAATAATATTTGTGACATGAAGGTTTGTTCGTAACATATTTTTGAGTTACAGAATGGAAATATGTATGCTATGCACTAATCCCTTAATTTTTTTCCCTTTATTTTCGAAATTTTCTAAGATGGATATGAAAAAAAAAAGTTAACACATTTTGAGAAGTGTATGTGCACAAGTCATTGTCTTTCAATACATAAACAATATCATATTTTCCGATCTCAGTTTAGGAAGAATTTGCAGTACATTGCACCTGCGATGCTACACGTACGGAGGGGGCTTGTAAGCTTATTCGCTCCTGAATCCATCTTGAGGAATCTGGATGTAGTAGCTGCAAGAGAAGCAGAAAAAACAATCAGGAAACTGCTAGGAAAATCTGCCTCACAGATCACCTAGGTCAGAGCAACCTTTAAGGCAGGAGGACATTAATTTCTGTCCTTGTGGGTGATGCTGAAGGGCTGCTTGAGGGCCACATTCCTATCTTCTGAATGCCTGTTTTGTTTTCTTAAAGTCTTGAATCAGCGATTTCTCTCACATGGCGTAGGAGCCTCAGGAACAAGGATCGTTTATCTCGAACGCTCCTCCCACTACCTTCCCAGAAAATTTTTGCGACTGGAACTCACCGACAGTTTCTTCTTCGTGGTGGTGGATTTTCTGCAACTTGAATAGTAGTTGAGGGTGGCATACTCCATCAGAGCAGCAAAGACAAATAAGAAGCACACGGTCACGAAGAGGTCCATGGCGGTCACATACGACACCCGGGGCAGGGAGTTCCTGGCTATGGTGCTGAGCGTGGTCATGGTCAGCACCGTGGTGATGCCTGTGTGGGACAGGTACCGAGCTGTGAGCACAGCCACGTGGACTCGCCACACCCACAGCGCCTCATTTTTATGTGGCCCCTTCTGGACATTGCATAAGTGTAACATGACTTTTTAATTTTAATGTGCATACTATTTTGTAAACCACATTTCCATAAATTTTTTTTATCATAGGCTTTGCAATAACATTAAAATACCTGAATTAGGTTGGCACCTTTCAGTTTATTCAGTAATTCCCTATTGTTTGACATTTTGTCTTTTAAATTCTTTTAAAATGAAGATACTGTTTGCAGTCTCCCCATACAACCCCATCTGTTCTGCATCTCACATGCTTCTTCTGACCAGATAAATTGTTTCCTTTCTTACTTCTTCTTCCATATGTAATTTGTAAGTTTCACCTTTCTTCAAGACCCAGGCGAAGCATCAGCCTCTCTGAGGGGCCCCAGACAGAGCTGATAACAAACACATGGTCCCCATCCCTTACTTCCTGTGTACCTTGTGTTTTTGCAGCGGTCGCACGTCTGTAGGCTTTGCATGTCTGTATCCCTGAATACAGTGTGACCTTTAAGTGCAAAACTGTATCTTGCTCATCTTTGCTGGCCTGTCACCAAGCCTTGTGCCTCGCACATGTTAGGCATTTAAATGAATGCTTTGCATGGACTGCATTGATTCTTCGATTAATTAGTTAACTAATCATACTCAGTATTGGTCTGACTTTGACTGTTACATATACGTGGGTCAACACTAAAGATTTAATCAAAGACTGTGGAAAAGATTTAGAAAAGAGACACTTGTGATGGATGGTTTAGAAGGAAAAACAAGTGGAAAGGGAATGGAAGCTACTAAACATAAAGAAGGTGAAGTGGTTGGATGATTATCACATAGAACACTTAAGGAGGACTCTCCCCATGGTGACTCCTGGGAAATCAGAACCTTCTAGAACTGCTAGACAGGCAGGCTAGTGACATGGACCTGAGCGTCATAGGAATATGGACGTTAAAACTCACCATCTCCATGGTGATGGAGATGGGAATGCTATGAGACATGTGCTGTAGTGTCACAGCTCCTGTTGAGGCTAGGGTGGCCAGCCAGGGCCAGGTGGAGAGGGGCTGTACAGCCCAGGGGGCCAGCTTGGCTGGGTATAAAGGATATTGGACTGGAAGCCAAAGCTCTCAGCCTTGCTCTGGGCCTTCTCAGTATTTGGTCATGTAAAGTCATTTACCTTCTTTGAATTAGTTTCTTTGATCAATACAGTGAAAACAGAACATCAGGTGGGAAGCTGTGATACTTCATGTAAAGATGCTGTGTAAACTTGAAAAATCTACACTGATGGAAGGCATATTTTTATGGAAAAAAAACCCCATTTGTAACATATATCTAATTTAACTTTTCAAAAAATGTGGTGACCATGTCATATCTATAGAATCTGTAGGTAGGAATTTTTCACTAAATTTGGGGATTTTTAACCTTATTTCTTCAAAACTTTTTTACCTCATTCTTTTTCTCTTCTCATTCTGGAACCAAAATTATAGTTATGTTACATGTCTTCATATTGTCCCACGGATCAATGGGCTTTATTGATTCTTTTAAATCTTTTTATCTCTTCTTTAGATTAGATAAATTTTATGTGATGGTCTTCAATTATACATGACCTTTTTTTTCTGCCATCTTCAATCTGCACTTAAGCCTACTTAGTGAATTTTTCAATTCAGCTATTATATATTTCATTCTAGAATTTTCTTTTTAATGTACTTATATGCTGAGATTATAATCTGTTCATTCAGATATTTTCCTTTTTTTAAAAAACTTTATTGGAGAACAGCCATGGTCATTGGTTACACACTGCTTTCATACTATAGTTACATAGTTGACTCCTCTAAGGACGGTGCAGCCCACAGTGGCCCACATGGGGATCAAACCGGCAACCTTGGTGCTATCCAGCACCACACTCCAACGAACTGAGCTAACTTGTCACCCCTAATGTTTTCCTTTTTTAATTAAATTCATTGGGGTGACATTGGTTAGTAAAATTATATAGGTTTAAAGTACATTTCTATAATGCATATTGCACTGTGATTATGTTTTCCTTTACATCTTTGAACTTTGTTATAATAGCTGCTTGAAAGCCTATGCCTGCTGATTGAGCATCAGAGTTGTCTCTTTATGTTGACTCTTCTTTTTCTTGTTCATGGGTCACATTTTCCTGCTTCTTAGAAATGTCTAGTAGTATTTTATTGTATACTCAATATTGTGGATGATATTGTAAAGAGTATGGACTGTGTTATCTTTTTTTAAAGTATGTTGAACGCTTTCTTATATTTAATTTACTGGAGGTTCTTCTTGATTGTGTCATGGCTTGGTTTAAGCTTTCTTTAGAGGAGGTCTGGGGTACCTTTTAGTCTCAGGCTTAGCCTTTCTGGCGTCTCCACTAAATATCCTGGTGTTAATGACATTCCTTCACTGTTCTTGACTATAAATCTATTATCTGCCAGCATTGTTTATTTCTAGTATCTCTGTTCTCTTAATTACACAAGGGAAGACTCTCATATCTCAAGTTGTGTCAATATACCTACATATTAGAATGTTTCAAAGTTGATCTTTAAAGCCATGTTCATTATGACACCTGACATTTGTAATTGTGAGGTTATAACCCCAAGAATAGTTACTGACTTAACAATTCTATCATGTATTTTCTGTAAGCATGCATAGGTAGAGGATATTACAGGCTAATTTATCTTGCTCAAATAATATTTTATTTATGAAATAAAATTTTAAAAAACCAAGCAAATAGAAAAAGCACAATGTAATATGAGCGACTTTGCAAGGGTTTTTAAATTGAGGCAGCCCCCTCTTTCCTGAAAGAGTTATTTTTTTGGGGAAAAAACCCTCTGTATATTCAGCCTTATATATTACCTGTCCTCACAAATCAAAATATTGAAAGTTAGGCAAATTCCTATTATAAAGAAAAACATATAAAACATGTTGCACAATTCTAAAACCACTGAAATTCAGTATTTTATTAAGAGGATATTGGGAGCTAGAGGAAAATTCCCAAAAAGACTTTGAACTTTTGTGTGTGCATTATAGCTGAAAGAAAAACGATCATTTTCTTGCTGGTAAAGTTTTGACAGACAAGCAGAACTTCTTTTACTAACACACTATTTTACCAATATAATGTCTTCCATCCTCCAAGGTGCACAGCCAGTCCTGTCTCCCTACACAGACGTAATGAGGCTTGTGAGTGTGGCACATTCCAGGAAGTGACTACAGTTTTATGATGACATCACCCTTAGAGCATAGTATCAGATGATGCAATTGATTTATTCTGAATTCCTAAGCCAAACTGAATTTAAGTGGCACACATGGAATGCTATTGTCAGAAAGAACAATCTCAGTTAGCTACTTAAAACAATCTAAGCATCATTCAAGTAGCCCTCGAATGAAGTAAACTACATTTGAACTAAGTTTTTTTCACTGAGTATTTTTATGAATACTTCTGTATTAAAATTACACAAAGTGCTGGGAGAGTTTTTGAGAGACTCACCTAATGCTGTTCTTGCTGGTGTAGCATCTTTTTTGATCCAAAATGACACCCAGGATAAAACCACCGTCAGTATGCAGGGGATGTATGTTTGAATAGTGAAGTATCCCATTCTTCTACTTAGTTCAAAATATATCGTCATGACAACATAATCACCTGTAATCAATATTGTCAACATTAAGACAATGTCCTTGAGTTAAGAAGTAATTCAGGGAAATAATTTATGGCTTATTTTGTTAAATGAATGACTTGGATAAAAATACGTAACTATGACAAAATCAAATTGGAAAAGGGTCAAAATGCTGGTGTTGTTCAACAATTTTTATCATATTCCTGCCTGTGCAAGGCATTTTACTGGAAAAGACACAAAAACAAACACACTAATTAATAGAGGAGATAGATGTGCACATCTGTTCCATGACAGACCATCACTGAATGAGCTAGTATTGCCTGAATTTATTGTTTAATTCATCGATTTGACTGAATGTTTAAAATCAAGGGTAACAGATAGGAAACTCAACCCTCAAGCGGATCCATAGTCATTTTGTTTTGTCCATGATAACAGAGCGGTACATAAACTTGTGTAACAATTTTATATTTCTATTTTCATAGCATGACTTTTAGCTTATCAACCTTGTGCTTCATCTTTTATTCAATATTTTTATATTTATCTTATCCTTTCGTGACTCTGGTACTTAGGCTGTGCGGGCCCAGAAAACGAAGAAGAGAAATCATTTTAAAACATTCTGTTCCCTGGTTTATGGCAAAGTCACGCCATTTGGAGTTGGGGGCAGTAGAGATGTTACTGGAGATTCCACAAGGTCCCTGGGGGGATCAAATTACATTTGATTCCCAAATCTTCTCTATTCGTGTCTTTTCTAGCCCCCTCCTGCTGAGATGACATCTCCCCTCCTGTGTTTGTTCTCCACCCTTCAGCCTACCGGATGCAGCCAGTGCACCAGGAATTCACCGTGTCCACACCAGCACCTGCTCTCCACCCGGGGCCTTCTCTCACGTCTTCAAGGCCAAACCCAGAAGCCACCTCTCACTCCGCCTTTTCTTTCTTCAGTTCCTGTGTCCCTCTCTATTCCTTTCCACACCAGCCCAAGGGCCATCTCCTCTCATAGCCCCCCACTTGTCTCCTGACCACGAGCCCTTCTCAGCTGCAGACCTTTCTACGTCCTGCCATCACAGGATCTTTCTAAAACACAAATATCACTGTCCTTATATGCTTTCACCAGCATCTTGCTATCCGTGTACAATCATCTACACCATTCAGTACGAAACGCCCCTTACTTCGTAGTCTCGGGGTCTCCATGTCCTCAGACATGCCAAGGTCCTCCCCACGGGACCCTTCCCTCTGCCTAGGGTGCTCTTCCTTCCTCCTGCATCCAGGCACTTCCCACTCACCTTTGTATTCCAGCTTGGAAATCACTGTTCACCCAGAAAGCCTCCCTGAGCCCCCTCCCAACAAGTGTGATCAGTTCATTTCTGTAATTATGTAATACCGGTCCTCAAACCAGTTAACTAGTTGGGTTATAGAATTTATTTCTCTTGTTTACCAATATGACTAAATAATAAGCAATCAATTAGTAATTTGTTAATGAAAGATCACCATCAACATTTTGTTTTTACCTAAAAAGAATCACAGGGAAACTATGGAACCCATATGACAACTATGCCTTTCAATAAAATAAGTTGTTTTTTTTTTTGCAGGATGAAGTGTCCTGTTGCAGCAACACTCAGTATGGTTGATAGAAACATCAATTTTGAGATAATTTCCTAAAAAACATTTAAAACTTGAAGCAAATTAGCATTTCAGTATAAAGGAATCAAAATGATTAATCTGAAGCAATCAAACAACACAAAATAGTTTTCTAAGTAATATGAAAGCTGACTTACATCATTTCCTGGGAAATATTATTGAATTATGTGTGATATTAAAAGCCTATTAATTTTTACATAAAATTTCAATAAAGAACCAAGCAGAAAGCAAACGGTAGATAGAAAAACAGAATGAATCACCCTGGCAATTATGAGCACAGCCCCAGTGGCATAGCCAGAGCTGAATAATTGATTGTGGGTTCCTGAGAAAGATAAACAGAGGGAAGGTTCCAGAGCAGATGTACATCCATCTGCTTTTCTGCAGCCTGATGTGAGCGGCACCCACACCTTGCTTCGCAAACCCCTCGGCCTAACTCAGGGTCTGCTGGACGTCCTACTGTCACCGTGAAATGGGCTGTGAGGCCACACTCTACGGTCCACTACACTTGCCTGTAGTCCCTACACTTGCCTGGCCCTAAGGAGGCACAGCGGCTCCACTAAGGTAGAAACAGAACAGCAGGGAGGGAGTCAGGACGTTCATTACTTCAGAGTGCTAACAAACTGCTCCACCCTCCAGTGCCTTGGAGGCCAGGTAGGAGCCTGGACGTCCACTCCCACCCAGCGAAAATGGGCACTGGGCCCCACAGTGCTGGCAGGAGTGACAGGGAGCTCATCCCCTCAGATGTCAGTGGAGGTCATGCAGGGAACCTGGGCTTGTATCCTCACTAGGCAAAGAGGTGATGTCATCCGACTACCGTGTGGAGAGGTGTCAGAGGACGTCAGCTGCAACTGAGATTTAAACAAGATCCAGTCCAACTTCACACCCATGTCCAGATTTCAACTAAAATCACTCTTAGCAGCAAGAAGGATGACCTGAGACTGAAAAAGACAGTTGATATCTGCTAACATCAAAATGGCAGAGGTGTTGGAATTATTTATAAAGCAGCCACCATAGAGACATTTAAATGAGCAATTATGAACATAATAGAAACAAATGAAAACAATAGAAATTCTGAGCAAAGAAATAGAGGGTATTAAAGGAGAACCAAATGGAAAAATTTGAGCTAAAATGCACAAAAATGGAAATCTCAGAGGATGGGCTCCACAGCAAAATGGAGGGGACCGAAGAAAGAATTAGTGAATTGAATGATAAAACAAGATAAATGATCCCATCTGAACAAGTACTGAAAAAAAGAGAACAGAGCCTTAGGGACATGTGGGACTATAAGAAAAGATCTAGTGGATGAATAGTTAGGTTGTCGCTTAAAAAAGAAAGCTAAACATAGAACTCCCATCTGCATGACCCAGACTGCACTCTTGGGCACTGACCCTATAGAACTGGAAACCAATGCTCACACAAAACCTTGTACGCCTATGCTTGTGGTAGCCAAAAATAAAAAACAGTCTAGATTTCCTTCAAGGGGTGAGTAGCTAAGGAAATTACTCAGTAATAACATTATCGTGTACTCAGTAACTTGGATGAATCTCTAAAGAATTTTGCTGAGTGAAAAAAAGCCACACCCAAAAGTTCCATTTTGTTTGGCTCCATTTATATAGCATCTGGAAATGACCTTATAGAAGGGGAGAGCAGGTTCATGGTTGCCAAGGACTAGAAAGGGGCTGGAGGAGGAGGGAACGAGAAACATGAGCGAGGCCTGTGGGGACCGAGACGTTTGCATCCTCACTGTGACGCACTTTCTCCCCAAAACATTACCATTGGGGTAACTGGGTAAAGAGTACATGGGATCTCTGCATTATTTCTCATAATTGCACTTCAATTAATAATTATCTTAAAAGGTAATTTAAAAACACCCTATCGATCATAGGATAAATGACAGTGTAAATTAGAAAGTATTTGTAACTGAATGAAAACGATATTGCATTTAAATGTTGAATGACAACAGTACAAAATATCAAGGATTTTGATTCAGACTTTGTACCTAATGTGATTAGCTTTATTTACATAAACCGTCTGATTCTTATTATGAACAAGTCAGACGCCCTCCCTACTTTGAACTTGACCCTTATTTTAGAGTGCTGTGTTGCTGGCGATTGTGCCCCAGCCCGGGCTGCCTCCCCTTGTTACTGGGCTCCGAAGGGTCGGGTCCTTTTAACGGCTATGCCTTAGGATGCGTCAGCACGGCGACGGGAGGCATGAAGGTAAAACAAGCACCACCTTCTAAAAGTTGGCATTTTCTCAGTATACCATCACACTCTGCTCTCTTGTAGGCGGCTGCATTACAGTCAGTCAGCGGAGAGGACTGGAAATGTACAATGAGAACACCTAGTTTATCTTCCCGGGGTTGAAAGGCGCTCCAACTCTGCCAATCAAGACAGACGTGGGCAGCGGGACGCAGACGAGGAGAGCTGAGCTGGGATGTTTCGTAAGCATATCTTACTTCCTATAAAATTTGTTCAGATCGTGTGTCCTGAGGCTTTGGGGTTCTTCACAGCGGATGGACTCCCGTCAAATTCAGTGTCAGAGATGCCCTGTCAGTCAGGGAGCCTGAAGGAAACAGACGGAGAAGGATGAGCCTCTTTACGGTTACGACTCAGCATATCTGTGCCGAGCGTTTCAAATGGCTTGGAGGCGATTGACGGTGGCTCCGAGAAGCAGCCTCATGATCAGTTCAGAACTGTCAGCAGGAAACGTCTCAGGAAGATTGTGGGGTTCTTGAAAAGAGACCCTCTGTTCCCAGCACGCCGTCGAGGTCCATGTCTGGGCTCATTAGGGACAAACACGCGGACTTGCTGCCACCTCCCCTTTTGACACTGAGACTCAGGCAGTGGCTCTCATTTTGATGAGACAGCTTCCCCAGGCTAAATCCAAGGTCATTTTTACCTTTGCATCCTCCCTAATTATAAGATTCTTGGGTTAATTTTTTTATAGCAAATGTGGATGATGCCTGCAAATAGTGAGAAATGACAGACACCTGGTGATATTATTAGTGCAGACAGCAGATTGTGCTGAACGCTGCAGATCCTGAACCCCCTACCCTGAGCTGATAAAACACGTGACTGTACCCCAAAATAAAAATAAACGAGATCAGGCAGTGGGCTGCGCAGATGTTTAGGATTTCACATTGGCAGGTGGGACTTAACAGAGCAGAAGCTTCCAGAAAAGGCAGGGTGAGGGAGAGCGGATTGTAGGAGCTGTTTCACTTAGCATGCGTTCATTCTCTGTCTAGGTTTGCCTCGGGCCTCTGTCCCCAGGTCTGCTGCTTGTCCCCCCTCCATCCCACTCCATACCTCGTGCCCCAGCTCCTGGGGGAGTGGCTACATGGCTGCGGGTGTGGGGTGGGGTGGGGGGAACGGTAGCTGGCAGAGTGGGG